TAATTATACATATAATGAACTCATGCTGTCCAACTTGCTTTCAACACACGGAATCTGTAGCCACTGCCTGTGCTTGGTGTGGGTGCTGCCACTCTTTCTGTGTAGGGCTCAGAATGATAAGCAGATTTGAAGGTCAGAAGTGACAGCAGACAGGATGGTCATCTTATTTCCTCTACTTCCTCTCTGGGGAGAGGCAGAAGGACTCCAGAGGCAAGAACAATGGGAAGGAAAACAAGTAAATCCCAGCAGGAAAGAGAATGGCAACAGACACAGAAGCTCAGCTGCCAGCAAAAATCTGATGCCCTGCCTTGCTCCGAGGAGAAGAGGCAAGTCTTCCCAAATCCAGGCGCCCCAACATGATTGCAAAAGGCACACCCATCGGCCCACAGACAGCCAACTCGATTGAAGAACCAGTGAGACACCTTGGGAAGCTGCCCAAGTTTCTGAAGACATCTCTGTAAAAGCTGCCTTTCTTCCTAGTGGATGCTTGGACCCCAGCACAGAGGCGAGTGACCAAGATCAACCACACAAAGCTGGAAATTCTTTTTTTAAAGGAAAAGTTCATTTCAGAAATTTTATTCAAGGGCTAATAGCCAAGTCCTTCTCCCATTGGCGCCTGGCAGGGCTGACTGAGCAAGCGCAAAGAGGCTCTCAGGGAGCTTTGATGTCAACAGAGGTAGGCAGGGCAGGCCCTGGTGGAAAACTGTGAAGTCAGCACAGTTATCTCCGGCACTCCTCCCTTCCCCCTTGCTTCCCCTTTCTCCACCCATTTCCCCCCTCTCAGCTTCCAGCTTCTCATTTCCCAGGGGACCCTGTATCATATGAAAGGCCCGCCGTCATAAAATATGAGGGGGCCAGCTCATGGCTCCAGCTATGGAAGTCTGCTTTTTTTCCCCTAAGTCTAAAACAAACAAAGATGTGCATTCCATACATTTCCTAGGGAAAGAGCATGAATATAGAAACCTTGTCCCTTGTGCCCCCTCAGCTCAACCCCAAGAGTCTGGGGCCTCAAATTTGTAGCTATCGTCCTGACTCCTGGGGTTTTAAAAAGATTCAAAAGTGCCTCCAACCAATACAGCTGCTCGGTTTACAGCTCAAATTTAAACCACAAATTATAAAATGATAAATCGCTGCTCAAATCTCTTCCAGGAAAGACTATGTTGTCAAGATTAAGTTACAACCTCATGGACATATGAGTGAGTCTAGTTGCTGACTAACTCACTCATTTTCCTGCTAGAGATGTTTTTTCTTCATGAACTTTCACTGTTTCTGAATATTTTAAACAAAGAAAATGACTGAAGGCAGGAAAAACATAAAAACTTCTTAACCCATGGAATTTTTTATATGCTTTATGATGTAATGGCTGCTTTCGGGTTTTGTGAGAACCAAAGGAAGTTTAAGAAACAGCTTTGTTCTTGAGTACTTAACTGCCAGAGATCAGTGAGAAATGGCTTCACACTCACTTCAAAGTCTAGTTGGAAGGTAGTGTGTGGTAAATCAAAACTCTTTTAAGGAATTTGCATCTTAAAGTATCTGCTCAGTGATTAAGTAGGATTGCAATCTGATTTACTGTATCTTGTTCCCATGTTAATCAATTCTTTGGGATTCTCTTACAGGAACTGGTCTAGTGACAGAGGAGCATGAGAAATAAATAGGCCATATGCATGCTTTCCTGTAATGCTGTTCCGCTCTGCCAGAACTTTGGCAGCAACAGGAAGAAAGATGAAATACTTGTTTGAGGCCTTGATCTTGCCTTGCTGCAGGGTCTCTCACACTGACCTCATTCTGATCACCTGGGGCTGCAGGAAGAAGCTCTATCTATCCTCCATTGTGTTTCTCCAGCTCAGAGCCTTGGTTACACAACTGTGACCCTGTTTGTCCCAGGCCACTCGAGTCTTGAGGACCATCAGACCATGAGTCATAATCACTTTAGCATCTACTCCTAAGTTCCCTCTTGTTTATTTTTGCACCTCCAACCCTTCAGTCTCTTTCTTGGGGTACCTGGATCCTGAAAGGCAGCTTTTGGCTTCTGATACAATTTCACCTTATCAGCCATGCCAGCAGACCCTGCTATGGTTACTCTTGTCTCTGCTTTTCCTGAAATCAGCCCCGCTGTCATTACTGCTGCTTTTTCTGGGATACTTCAAGTTGCGGAGAGAGTTCTTTTCCTGTGATTATAGCTCTTTCTTCCAATTTTAACTAGGCTGGCGTCTCTATGATTATAGCTCATTAGGACTCCTGAGGCTAGGAAGCATTTTTTTTTATGCTGCCTTATTTTATTTTTTAAAATAACATGTATTATAACTTATTTTTGCAGAGAAACTTAAAGATGAGAATAATAATGGTCATTAATCCTATAGTCCAGAAAACCCCTAATTTTTTTTAAAAATAGACTCATGAGAAGAAAATTAAAAGTTTTTTAAAAAAAAGTATGAAAGGTGAAATTAAAGCTCCCTATTCTTCCTGAGTTCCTCCTCAAAATATAATCAGTTACTGTTTTTGTGTTTTCTTGTTACTACATATTTATGTATATACTTTAACAACACTTCACATAAAAGAGCTCTTCTATGCTCATCATTTTGCATTTTGCTTTTTTCCACCTAAAACACCATCTGAGAACTCTTTCCACATGCACATTACAGATATATTTGCTAATTCTAATGTCTGCATAATCTTTGTCAGAAGAGATCAGTCCTCCAAATGAAAAGCACTCAGTTAGGGCCTCCCCAGTGGCGCAGCGGTTGAGCAGCTGGGCTGCGAAGCTGCCAGCAACCTCTGCAGCGCCGGTTCGATCCCCAGCCACAGGTGAGGGTCCCACATGGCATGCACACCTCTCCTGCCATGCCCGCTGCTCCCCTCAGCAGTGTACTTCGGTCCTTCTGCCTGTTCTGCTCCCTGCTCTGGCTCTGGTGGATTCTCTCACCCTCCAGCACTTCTGACTGTACCCAGTGCTTGTATAAAAAAATAAATAAATCTTTAAAAAAGAAAAAAAGAAAGAAAAGCACTCAATTAGAACCCTTGTCCCCTTGCTGTCCCTTTACTTACTTCCTCTACTCCCCAAGTTCAGAGTGACTTACACGACTAACATGTTTGGAAGAATAAGCTAGACATGCTCAGTTCCACTGACCTTAGGACTGGGTTGCTTATAGGGAATGTACCTTTTATTCCCCAGATGTGGGCAGAACTGGGTATATATCTGCCCAATTCTAAATTTTATTAATAAGAAGCCTATTTGTCTCTCACTTTGCAATTTATTGGACCTTCTCGGGGTTCTTAAATATCATTTCTTATTTGGACATATCAAAATTTATTAAATCAGTTTCATAAGGGTGTTGAATGGTTCTAGTTCATTGCTTGAACAAAGAACACCTCAATGAATAGCTTGTGCATATTAGTGACTATACTTTCTGCAAACACACCAATGGGTAAACTCCTTAAAATAAAGTGCTGGATCAAAGAAAGTTATGTGCCTTTGTGTTCCAAATACAGATGGGAGAAAAGACTACTCCCAACCCTAAAGGGTACTGGGAAGGGAATGCCTAGATAACAACTAATAATTCTACGACAATAATTAGCATTGATTTATTTTTCATTGTATGCCAGATTCATAAACACTTTATACATATTATTTTTTAATCTCCATAACAACTTTATGAAATAGTAGGTAATATCTCCATTATACAGGTGAAAATAGGGCCTCCCCAGTGGCGCAGCGGTTGAGCGCTGGGTTGTGAAGCTGCCCGCGGCTTCTGCGGCGCCGGTTCAATCCCCGGCTGCTCCCCGGCCACTGGAGGAGGGTCCCACATGGCGCGCAGACCTCTCCTGCCGCCCACTGCTCCCCTCAGCAGTGTATTTTGGTCCTTCTGCCTGCTCTGCTCCCCGCTCTGGCTCTGGTGAATTCTCTCACCCTCCCACGCTTCTGACTGTACCCAGTGCATGTATAAACAAAACAAACAACCAAACAAACAAATAAATAAATAAAACATGCCTCTATTAAAAAAAAAATACAGGTGAAAATAATGAGATCAAAATTGTTAAATAACTAACCCAATGTTACAAAGCTAGTAAGTAGTAGAAATAGATTTCAAGTCCGTGATTGTGTGATTACATATTTCAAACCTCTCAACACCATACTAAAGGGTGTTCCCCATGGAGTAGAGTGGGTAGTAGCCTGGTTTAGCATTTGTGTATATTTTATATATATATATATAATATTGATTGTATTTAGATATATCTTAGGGAAGCTCCTACATGAAGACTTCATAAAAGCTCTAGGCAGTTGAAAACTTCTGTGTGCCCTTTTAAAATCAGGTCACTAGAAACCAACAAGTTTAGGATATTTACCTTAGCTCCTTATAAAATGCCTCACTGAGCCAAGGTTCAGCACTATAGTTGCAAATTTCTTAGAAGGTAAACATAATAGTCACATTAAAAACTCGTATTTTTTGTATCTTCTAAAAACCCAGTTGAAGACATTATCCATTATATTTTTCAGACTCGTATCTTAGGATTGACGTGATAAACTTCACTCAGAATGGAGAACAATGAAAGAGATTTTGTTTCCTCATGAGCTGATATTGCTTCCTTATTTTCAGACAATATGAGTGATGTAATCAACTGTGTTTCCCTTTTTGCTTTGACTGTCAGGAAGCCCAGCCTTACACTTAATATCTACTTACAATATATATAGTAACTAAGAGCACAGATTTTTTGGGTTCAGGTCCCAGCTTGGACTCTTATCAACTGTGTTATGTGTACTGCAGTTCCCTCAACTGCAAAATGGAGGTTTTCAAGTGTATTAAGTTATTTCATATTTGTAAAGCACTAAGAACACTACCTGGCATAGAATAAGTTCTTGATAAGTATTACTGAAGTAAGATAACTTCATCTATTTTATAATCATTTTTAATTCTAACAGCAATATATGAATTCATGTTTGTATCACACTAAATAATTCAAATAAATATAAGTATATATAATAAAAATGCAGTCCCCTTTACCTGAAGCATATGTGTCCATCTGATTCCATTCAATCTGCTTTTCTCTTCTCTCCTTAGGAGTTAATGCTCTGTATCTATGAGAGAAAGAGAAAGATTTTATTTGTTCAAAACTAATATACACCACTGGGAGAGAAGTTCTACACAATGATTAATAAATGGACACTGAAACAAGAACATCTGAATTCATGTTCCAGTTCATCTTCCTACCAGTTGGGTGACCTTAGACAAGCTACCCAACTTCTCTGAGACTGAGTTTTCACATAATTTCTACAATGGGGGAAGAAACTAGTACTTTCCTTTTTATGGAGATTAGGTGAGTTAATATTTGTAAAACTCTTAAAATAGTTGCTGATGCATAGAAAATACTGAGTGTTAGTTCTCATAATGATGTCCACAAATGTTGTACTGAGACTTGCCCTTAACAATATATCTTAGGGATTATTCCACAGCAGTATATACAGATATATCTCATTTTAAAAGTAATTAGTAGGTTGTTCTAAAATACAACCACACTGTAGTTTATTTAAATGTGCCCCATTTGGGTTGTTTCTAGCATTCAACGCTTTCTCATCTGAGGATGCAGAGTTACAGAATTGATCAACACAAGTTTCACCAGCCATCAGTATTCCACTATACTTATTTAACAAACACATATATTATTTGCTAAATATCACACAATGTCCTAATCACCTTAAAAATCACAATATGTTTAATACTCCTAATAATACTATTAAAACTGGAGATATTTATTCCCCCTATTACACCTGGGGAAACTGGGACAGAGAGAGGCTAAGTAACTTGCTGAAGATCACAGAGCTAGGAAGAGGAGGGCAGGGATTCCAACCCAGGCAGTCTAGACTTGCGAGTCCATACTCCAAACCACTCTACCCACACTCTGCTCCTCTCGTTCTCAAACCTGTGACTCACTTCAAAATCTCAACCTTCACTGGTCACATTTTACACCCATAATATGAATGGGAATTCAGCCTCTCTGTAATGTATTTAGAAATACAGAAGTCATCTAAAGGATGACATAATTGCTAAATCAATTTTTCTCCTTAAACTACTCAGAGCCAGCCTTTCCATTGTTCCTTACAATAGCCAGCCAGCACTGAGAGACCTTGGGTCATGAAACCAGCACTTGCCTTGAGAGGGCCCAGGTCTAAAGGTTCAGCCTCTCTGTGCCACGCTGGCCTGCTAAAGCAAACTCACAATGCAGGTCAGCAGACAGCCTTAAAATAAACAAACATGTTTGTGTTGCGCCCAGCTATGGAACACTGCAGATCCAATTAGGTAGTGCAAAACTCATACAAATAATCTTTCCTTTTCCCAATTCCTGCTCTGTAGGAGTCTTTCACAACTCACTTGGCCAACTCAAATTCCTAAAATGCTAAGGTTTAGAAAGTCTGGTCAAAAGTCTGCTAGTAAAATATTAAATTTTCAATTCTGGGTTCCCTATCACTGCTCCTATCCCTAATCTAAAATACTTTTAGATATGTGTACTAAATGCCTTTTTGTTAAAGAGATGGATGAGATATTTCTTTTGGCTTACATCCAGATGAACTATCAAATTCACACTTGAAATTAAACACAGGGAGGTATACATAAAAAAATTTTAAAAAACAAAAGAACGAGAATAAGATCTGAGCACCCTTTTTAGAAATCAGAACATCTTTCCAAATGGTAGACTATAGAAAACTGAGTAGGTTTTTAAAAATTTTTTTTGCTTTGTTAATGGAAAAAATTATTTATACATACACATATAATTTCATCTTGTGGAAAGTTCTTATATTAATGATAAGAGTAGTTTTCATTTCAAAAGTGTTGTTCATCCTAACCTACTAAAATCTACATTTTTCCTTTTATAAATACACTCCTATCTCAGGTTTCTGTCATTAAAGAAAGAAAGTACTTAAGAACAGTTTTCTACCCATCCCAGAGCTTAAGTTTTGGCTCAAGGAACTTCCTGTACTGTGCCAGCTATGACATGTTGAAAGTGGATCTGCAATTTCAGACAACTTGCTATACTTTTTTAGCCTTTATAATGGCTCGAGCCCTTTGCATTTTAGGAAATAAGTTGGAAGATAAGGAGAGAGTAGGGGGTGCTTGGACGGGAACAGGAAATAGGGTCTTATCAGGGACTCCTTAGTGTGCCTTTTCTCTTCACATCATGTGCCTTACCACATGTCTAAGCCAACTCCACTTACAGGGGAACTGGTTGTATGTGGAGTAAACAGGGTTGGGATGGGACCATGGGCTCATCTACCATTAATTACAATGCTGGAGATTAAATACAGGAAGTTATATTCTGGCAAAATTGCTAAGACCAGACAGAAGTTGAAAAAGAAGTGATGCATTTTTCATTAAAAATATCAGTCCCCCTCACAACAAACCCTCCTGCCACAATATCACCTAGAGATGATAAGGAGTATGTATAGCAGCTATGATTCCTACCATCTAATCCAGCTTTCTGATCTCGTGGCTGATTGGACCAGAAGTGGGCACCTGATTCAAGGGAGTCAATCTATAGATGGCTACATTCCCATGACCAGTCATCAGGTATAAAAGAGAGGCTGGGCCCATCAGGGTCCTTCCCTCACAGAAGTGGCATCAAAGCAAAGAGAGAAGTTACCACCAGTGAGTAGTAAGATAGAAAAAGGTATGGCTGACTATATTTGTGAGGATTAAATATCAAGAAGACCTATGAATTTCTATTGGTGAGATCTGTGTAGCTACCTCAAAGTGAACTAACTTGTAGCACTAGTTTCTGTGAAGCCAACCCATCATGTTTCCTATTTTGGGGTTTCTGAAAGCTCCTATTACCTTACAGTATGTTTTTCTTTCTTAAAGCTCTTATACTTAAGCTGGAATGAATGCCTGACACTTGCAGCAAAAAAAAAAAAACAAACTAAAGCATGATCAAAATAGAGACAAAATAAAGGAGACTGAGGAATCAGGAAAGTCTAAATTACAAGCAACAGAAGTAGGAGACTTTGTTAAAGTTCTTAAGGTTACAAATAATGTTATTAAATTGAAATCAAATTAATTATAGAATATATGGAATCCATGTATTCATGTGAAGGATGCTAAAGCAGCTCAAGGGTAGCTAGGACTTTTTTTTTAAGATTTATTTATTTATGCATACAAGAACTGGGGTACAGGCCAGAGATGAGAGGGGTAAGAGGATTCACCAGAGACAGAGTGGGGAACAGAACAGGCAGATTGACTGAGGGGAGCAGCGGGCAAGTCAGGAGAGGTCTGCTGCACCATTTGGGTCACTTCCCTGGCCAGAGATCAAACTTGTGCTGCAGTGGCTGTGGATAGCTTCGTATGTTGTATCCCAAGCCCGAGCCACCAGGGAAGCCCTATCTAGGACTCTTAAAAACCAGTACAGTTCCTCAAACTGTTAACCATAGAATTGTCACCATATGACCCAGCAATTCCATTCCGATGCAAAGAAGTATGCACACAAAAATTTGCACACAATGCTTACAGCAGCATTATTTATAATAGGTAAGGAGTGAAAACAACTCAAAAGTCCATGAACTGATGAATGGATAAGCAATGTGATCATAAAAGAAATGATATTCTGATATATACTGCAATGTAGATGAATCTTGAAAACAATACAAAGTGAAAAAAGCTAAACACAAAAAGCCACGTATTATATAATTCCATTTATGCGATATGTCTAAAATAGACAAATCAGCAGAGTCAGAAAGTAAATTAGTGGCTGCTAGGGGCTGGGAAGAGTGGAAAATGTAGAGTAACTACTAATGAGCCAGGAATTTCTTCTGAGGGGGACACCCATGTTTTGGAATTAGATAGTGATGATGGTTGCTCTGAATATACTAAAAACCACTCAACTTTATACTTTACTAAGCTAAATGTCATGGCATGTGAATTAGATCTGAATAAACCTGTCATTACAAAAAAAGTTGTATATATAAAAACAGAACAAAACAAAAACAAAAAGTAGTGCCACAAAATGGAAAGAAAGCCAGGAAGAAATCATACAATTCTCTCTCTCTCTGTCATCTTTATCATCTGTCTCCCTGTGAACACTCTTATCTCACTAAAAATCAGCTTTCTTAGCTTCTTCAAGCACATAGTAGCCAGACTATAAAACCTAGAGCTCAAAACTTTTATGTTGTGACAGAACTAACTAGATGATCAACTACCCACTTTCTATTCTGAGCATGTCTGGACTGCATTTCCCAGCATCCTTTGCATTTAAGTGAAATTATCTAATGAGTTATAGTCAGTGGAATGACCCTGAGGGACAGTGATATCTAATATACACTTTCTGCAATGAAATTCCTTCTGCAATCCTCACAAATTTTCTTAAAATATCAGTCTTATTTTAACTATATCTTGGGAAATAGAAACAAGGTTTACATATTTCATTGTAAGGTAGATATTAGCCAGCTGGAAAAGCCATTGTGAGTTAGCTAGAGGTGACTGGAAAGAGTCCTAGAGCAAAGCTGCTGAGAATAAGGTGTCTCTCATTAACTAGCATGAATTGGGGAAGATGCAAACACTTGATGGAGATTCTCAGAAATACTTGGAGAGAAGACTGGATATCTGTGGTATCTCAAGATGCAGAATAAAGCTAGAGTATATGAAAGGTAGGTAACCCAGGAAGGCTAGAAAACATGGAGAACCTGTCTCTCTGTCTCTGTGTCTGTCTGTCTCCTTCTCTACTTTCTTAATATCCTTAAATATTATTCAAATACATGACCAGTATATAATGAATAATGACTACCCTACCCTATTGTATTATCATACTATGACTTAATTTAACTGATTCCAATTGGATTTTTTGGTTGTTTCATACATTTGTAAGTAATACTACATTAAACATCCTTACATATTCTTCTTTGCATATTAAAAATTACTTCTCAGGTATATTTTCTGTGGCAAGTGGTATAAACAGTCTTAAGCTTCTGATATCAATTAACAAACTGCTCACTAGAAAGATCATACTCAGAAGAACTGCATAACCACTAAATCTCCACCCCCCGGAACTGCATAACCACTAAATCTCCACCCCACAGAATACCTCATTTCATGA